TAAACTGACCAAAGAAAACCTAAAATGTAAACAATCGGAGCAACCGTTGACTTTTTTTTTTCTTTTCATAGATAAAAAAAAGTTCCTCCGCTTGCTCCTAGATGGCACTTCTATAAGGGGCGGGATGGCAGGGGGGCAAATATTCAAAGCTTCCTTTTTGACACACGGGTAAAATGGAACTAATATTTGTGCGACGGGCGCGATGCCGTTGACCCACTGTGGTTTACTTTCTTCTTTGTTTTTTTTTTTAATGTAGGAAATTTTACAATTTTCCGCTTTTATTTTGGTCAAGCTCTACAACAATGTTAATATAAGGCTCCGATTTCGATTTAAGCAGTGTCTCTTTTCGTATTTAAAATTTGTCTTAAACAGTTACAGTAAATTGTTTGTGTATATATCTTCTCAAGAGGAATAACTTGTTTGTTTCAACATGCATTATAACCTATTACTCAAAATAGGAAGGCATTTTCTCCTTACTTTCCTTTCCAGTAGTAGTAGTAGTAGTGGTAGCAGTCATTTGTCGTTTTGTCATTGTTTCCTATTACTGTTTTGTCTGGTTGCTGGGTGTGCTGCGTTACAACAATGACGGCTCGAAGCATATCTTGAGGGCGCGACATCCAAAGAGAGAGAGAGAGGGGAAGAGGAAGAGAGAGAGAGATGGAGTGGGCGATCGTGTCAGCCGTGCCTGCCTACTATATGGGAAAGTGTGATTGTGGTGACTAGCATTTTCTTGTTATGATTCTCGGACTCGACGACCGGTTGCTATGATGGGATGCAGTGTGCAATTAATTACTTCGCAAAATGGCATTTAAAGCCATGTTTCCACTTGTTTCCGACTTCGGACGAAGCGGATTATCGCCCACTACTGATGTTTTGTTTTATTTGTTTGTTTGTTTGTTTGTTTATGGTGATGCATACGATTGCAGCGCTTGCCTTGTTAGACTTCCCTTCTCCAGGCCTTCTGGTATTTCATTTGTATATGTAAATAGCTCCACGATTTTTGTTTGTTTGTATATCTAAAGCACAAAAGATTTCTTCTTCGCGTCTTCTTGTTTCGAATACATCCAATACGCAGTCGGCCATTCATCAATGTCAAAAAACAAGATGGAACTTGATTGCATTTGAATTGGTCATATTGGTCGCGTTTTTTTTTTTTGATTATTGATTTGCTGGCAGCGGATCTCCCCGGATGGAAAAGACTTGAAAAGCGCGACGTCAAGGTTAAGTGGACAAGGTTGGCTTCGCCTTAAGCTGTCATTTTCGGATTGAAAATAAGAATAAACCTAGTTCTGTGAAAAGTCATAAAAACAGTCCGTTTTGTGCACACAAAAAAAAAGAGCATCATAAATAAAATTCCGGTTTGTGACTTTGTGCACGCGCGTCTTTTCCATTGGGGAGAGCGACATCTGTCGGGTGAAAAGCCTACTTATGAACTAGAGATTGTGTTGCTCTTCTTATTTCTTTTTTTTTATAAAAAATACATTTTCTTAAACATATATTATTCTTAGAGCAGATAATAATATACATTGTTTGTTTCTTCTTAACGTTTAGCTTACTGTTTTGTTTCATGTTTACTTCCTAGCAAAGAAAATGCTGGGCTAAGCGCCAAGAGCGTACGGGTTAAGCGTTTATTAAATGGATAACTAACGTCATAAATTAACCGTTCTGTAGACTAAGGAGGAAAGGGGTGTTAGCACATTTTGTTTGTTTTGATTTGACGGCCTTTGGCGTCTGGGTTTTGTTGTTGTTGTTGTGTGGTATTTTTGTTTTGTTTGTTTTGATAAATAAGGGAGAATGGGGATAGAACTCCTACATAAGTTAATGGCTTTGCCCTAGTTTTGCTGATGACGGGTGCACTTTGACAGCTGGAAAATAGTAGGCGCTTTGAATCGAAATATGACAGCTGATGATTTGTTGTTTACAAACAATTTGGATGAATATTGGAGTGTCTAATAACACGTCAGAAATCGAAATATTATCTCATTGTAATCCTGATGCTGCGAGTTGCAGGTAAATCGACGGATTTTTGTTAAGAAACTGGTGGAATTTTTGAGCTTACGGACTTGTCGTTCGTAGTTGATTATAGTGGAAGGACCTCGGTGGCCTAGTGGCAACCAATTTTGCCTTATTGAGCAGAAGATCGTGGGTTCTCAGGCCCCTTAACTGAGTTGATAGGGTCGCATCATTTGCTTACAACTTGGCATCATTTTCCAAAGTGAAACCGAATCCACTAACAAAAACGACCTTCCCATGAGAGCCGTAGAAATGCAGAGGTGTATTCGGTCTCTAGCAACAACGGATGTCAAACTAACAATCCTTCCCTTCCCCGATGACCGTGAGGACGTGGCCAGCGCGAAATAATGAACATAGAGATTGGTTAGGTTGAATTGTGAATTCTCGCGTAACATTTGAAAAGGGCCTATCCTCGTTGATCGATTCTCTTCATCGACTTTCGAATTCTCTTCATCGAATTTCTCGATTGATTCTCTTCATCGAATTTCTCGCTAAGCTCGCAGTACAGTTCGACAGAAGATGATGTTAGCTTGCGCCTGAAACAACACACTCAATGCAAAATTCATTTGCAGTCGGGCTATTCGCGAAAGAGAAAATCGATGAAGCGAATCGATCAACAATGATAGGCCCTTTTCTCGTTTTGTGCGAGAATTGTTTGCTATGGTCAATCATTAAAAAAACTTCCAAATGGCGTATTCGAAATGTTTCAACAAATCATAACTCGAAAACCTTACTTCTATTAAAAATGATTACTGCGGCAAAGTTGTAGGTAAACATAATTCCTTTTCAGCAAAAATATACACTGTAAAAAAATCCACGTTATTATGGGTAAATAGTGATTAAAGGTTAAATAACAAAACACGACTCTATTCAATATTTTTCATCACGAAAAATACTATCTTCTGCGAAATTTTCAAGTTGAACACCTAAAAATTATCAAAAATCATTAAACAACAACTTCAAAACAATTTTTGAACTTTTTGATTAAATAATGTTTTGTCAAATTTTTCACAGAAAACCATTTTGTAGACTTTAAAAATCGTTTTCTGTGAAAAATTATTAAAAAAGTGCACAAAATTAAAAAAAAAATTCACCAAAAGTTGTAGTTATTTTATTGTATAACTTTTGTTAATTTTTAAGAGTCCAACATGAAATATTTCACAGAAGATAACATTTTTCATAAGCTTTTCAATAATAGTGAAAAGGTTAAATTTATGTTATATAAGTTTGAAAAACATTTTGTTTTATCCTAAATTACTTAAAAAATTTTACCGTGTATATTTTTCAAGGAATTAGTTTTTCATATAACTTTGTCTCAGACGTCATTTCGATTGGAAGTAACGGTTTCGAGTTATGATTTGTTGAAACATTTCAAATGCGCCATTTTGAATTTTTTTTTGCGAGATCCAAAATGGCCGAATTTCAACTCAAATGCGAATGATTGACCACAACAAACAATTATGCAAAGTCTCCTGCAAATCGGAGAAGGTCGAGACTAGAAATGCTCATTTAACTGTTCGATGAAATTTAGATTCATATACGATTTTGAAGTATTTTACGACTTCCGCTTGTCTGGGAGGAATTCTTGAGAAGAACTTAGGGTAATTTCTGGGGCAATTCTTAAGATTTTCTTGGTAGATCAATTGAGATTTCCATACAATTTCAAGGAAGTGCTAGTAGTTGCTCAAATCTTGCCCCTTAAGTCCCGTGAGACTTAAGGGGCAAGATTTAAGCGACTACTTCTGAGACTTATGGAATAAGTTCATAGCATTTACAGGTCAATTTTTCGGGGGGAATTCTACAGGATTTATGCGATTCCTCAAAACTACAAACCCTCGCTACTGAATTTTCTACAGGGAAATTTTCGCATCCCAGATAATTACCCTAATTTAAGAGGCATTTTTACTCAGGCCTTACACTGTGAAGTCACTCTACATCTCTTAAGGCACACACGATCCACACGATCTAAATGGTTATTCCAAAGGATTCAATAATTGCACAACGGTTCCATGGCTCAAGGAGTTTCTCAGAAGACCTTAAAGGCCAATTCTGCAGGTTACTTCACAGGATTGAGGAAGTTACTGTAAAAGATTTAAGATGTAGTCTTAACTATTCTTGAGATTGTTCAACAGGCCCTACTTCACAACACTTAAGCATCTGCTTCAGACGGCGGAAAGGACTACTCCAAAAAATTCAAGCTACTACTGCATTATATACGAAATGTTGTCTCAAGACTTGTGAGCTCCAGGAAAAATTCTTCTGCAACTGCAACTTAAAAGGCAACTCTACAGGACTTCAAGGAATAACTCCCTAAGACGATAAAGTCAACTCCACAGGATGAAAGTTGTGACTTCACAAGACTTGAAAGGCTAATCCTTAGGACTTCTACGCCACAAAACGTGTGGAACAATTCTACAGGACTTAATGTGCTCACAAGAGTTCAGAAGCTGCTCTACAGGGCTAAAGGGATCACTTAGCTGGCAGCAAACTCCAAAGTGACTTTTCTACTCACAAGTCTAAAGAGGCTACTCTACAGGACTTATGGCAACTTTCCATAGAACTTCAATGGCCACTCCACAATACAAGTTGGAGTTGCTCCACAGCAGCTGAGAAGATCCTTCTTAGAACCTAAGAGGCTACTCCGCAGAGCACCACTCAACAAGACTTGAGAGCCTGTTTTCAGGACTGAAGCAGTACGGGAGCTACTCCACAAGACTTCAGTAGCAGTAGTTCCACCGTACTTCGAAGGCTACTCCATACTAGTTACAGGGCTGCTTTCCAGGAACTTAGGATCTACTTCATAGAACTGAACTGAGGCCACGGGTGACAGGGGGACGAATAGCTACTTCACATGACTTAACAAGTTTCTCTGAAGACGTGAAGGGCCATTCCACTAGACTGCAGTGGTGATTCCACAGGAATCGTAAACTCCACAGAATATCTAAGACCTTAGGCAGTTTGCCAAGCTGCTCCACTTGAGATTAGAAGCTAGTTCTTCCACGCAAAATTGAAGTTATTCCACATTTCATAGGGGTCATTCCACATCAGATGTAACTCCACATGATCTACCAGGTCACAACGGAATAAGGAGCTATTCCTCAAGACTTTAGGTGTTGTTGAAGAGGAATGAATAAACGACTCTATAAAGGGGTTTCTTTAATAGGTCACTCACAGCAACAATCAAGGACTTCTCCTGTGGATGGATGTGGATTAGGAATAATTCTAAAGTACTTCAGGGACAGCTACACAGGACTTTAGACGCTACTCCACAGTACTTGAGTAGGACACAGGTACTCAAAGTCCTCAAGTCTCTCAAGTCTCAAGAGTTATCTCACAAGACTTCAGGTGTATCGTAAACTCCACATAATATCTAAGACCTTAGATAATAGACTCAAGCTGCTCCACTTAAGTTTAGAAGTCATTCCACATCAGATGCTACTCCACAGGATCTACCAGATCACACGTAATAAAGAGCTATTCTGCAAAACTTTCGGTGTTGCTGAAGAGGACTGAATAAACTACTCTACAATGGGGTTTCGTTAAATGGTCACTCACAGCAATAATGAAAGAATTGTCGTGTGGAAGGATGTGGATTAGCAACAATTCTGTAGTACTTCAGGGATAACTACATAGGACTTTAGAAGCTACTTCACAATACTTCAGAAGGACACAGAACCTCAAAGTCCTCAAGTCAGAGAACATAACGAACTACAAGACTTAAGGAGCTATTGCACAAGTCTTGAAGGGCTAATTCCACAGGACCTATAAGGCCTTACGGAGCTATTTCACGAGGCTTCAGGTCACACACCAATAGTGAAATACTTCAAAAACAACTTCACAATACACCACAAGCTACGAGAAGTAGCTCCACAGGACCTTAAAGGCCTCTAGTCATGGTGAATGACGAACCACTCTACTCTAGGCGTAACGAGTTAATGCACAACTCTTAAAGGGCTACTCCACAGGACCCGTAAGGCCTCCGGTCACTGAGATGCTGCTCCACATGCTTTAAGTCGCTACTCCGCATGCTTTAAGGAGCTACTGAACAATACGGCTTTCTAAACAGGACCGAAGAGGTCATTCTAAAAAAATAACGTTCAGCAGGACTTTCAGAGTTGCTCTTCATAACTTCAGCAGCACAGAGGTCCTAATTAGCTACTTCGTAAAGCGTTTTTAGGAATTTCTCAAAGGGTTACTCCACATGAATTCGGAAGTAACTCAGTCACGGGTCACGGTCAACTACTCTACCAGACTTGAGGAACTGCTGCACAAATCTTAAAACGGCTACTCCATAAAACTTCACACAGGCTTCAGCTCACAGGCCCTGATAAGCTGCTCCACCAGACTCAAGTGGCTACTCGACAAGGACAGTATTGAAGGCGCTACTGAGCAAGACCTAAGCGGCTTCTCCGTTTAGCGAGACCTTAAGAGTGCTGATCATGACTTCAAGAGATTTTCCTCATAATAGCAGAAGTAACTCCACTTTATCTACAGGTCACCGGGAATAAGGAGCTATTCCAAAAGAGTTTATGTGTTCCTGAAGAGAACTGAATAAGCTACTCCATGAAGGCTGCTCTAAGCAAGAATGAAGGAGTCGTTTCACACGCAAGCCTACTCCAGAAGCCTTCAGACGTAACCCCACATGACCTTAAAGGCCACACGCCTCGGAGCATGGCGAACTACTCCACAAGGCTTCAGAAGTAATTCCACAGGACCCCTAAGGTCTCAGGTCACAGGACCTGCGAAACCGTTCCACAAGACTCAAGTGACTACTTCAAATGCTTTAAGGAGTTATTGATCGGTATTGAAGTAGCTACTGAGGGTTTATCCACAGGACCGAAAAGGTCACTCCACAAAGTTTAATTGTTCTTTCGTTCAGCGGGACTTTCAGAGTTGCTCATCATGACTTCAAGGTACTGCCGAAGAGATCCTAATTAGCTACTCCGTAAAGGGTTAAGAGGTCACTCAGCAAGCATCTTCACTGGACTTGATGCTACTCCACAATACTTCAGAAGTAACTCTGCAGAACCTTAAAGGTCGCAAGCCACGGTTCATGGTGAACTACTGTACTAAACTTGAGGAGTTATTTCACAAATCTTAAAATGCCGACAGAGTCTGAGAAGCTGCTCCACCAGACTCAAGTGGCTACTCCTCAAGGATTTACTGGAACAGTATTGAAGGAGCTACTGAGCAAGACCAAAGCGGTTTCTCCGTTTAGCGGGATCTTAAGAGTGCTGATCATGACTTCAAGAAATGCTCCTCATAATACCAGAAGTAAGTCCACTTCATCTACAGGTCACAGGGAATAAGGAGCTATTCCACAAGACTTAAGGTGTTGTTGAAGAAGCTACTCCATGAAGGGTTTTAAGGGGTTTCGTTTGACACGCAACAATTCTATAGTACTTCAGGGATAACTTCACAGAAATTATAAGCCTACTTCAGAAGCCTTCAGACGTAGTAATTCCACAGGACCTCTAAGGCCTCAGGTCACAGACTCAAGTGGCTACTCCAAATGCTTTAAGGGTATTACTCAACGGTATTGAAGGAGCTACTGAGTGTTTATCCACAGGGGAGAAGAGGTCACTCCACAAAGTTTAATGGGTCTTTCGTTCAGCCGGACTTTCAGAGTTTCTCATCATGACTTCAAGGTGCTGCCGAAGAGGTCCTAATTAGCTACTCCGTAAAGGGTTAAGAGGTCACTCAGCAAGCATCTTCACAGGACTTAAGAGGCCACTCCACAATACTTCAAAAGTAACTCTGCAGAACCTTACAGGTCACAAGCCACGGTTCATGGTGAACTACTGTACTAAACTTGAGTAGTTATTTCACAAATCTTAAAATGCTGACAGAGTCTGAGAAGCTACTCCACCAGACTCCAGTGGCTACTCCTCAGTGATTTATTGGAACAGTATTGAAGGAGCTACTGAGCAAGACCAAAGCGGTTTCTCCGTTTAGCGGAACCACAAGAGTGCTGATCATGGCTTCAAGAAATGCTCCTCATAATACCAGAAGTAACTCCACTTCATCTACAGGTCACAGAGATTAAGGAGCTATTCCACAAGACTTAAGGTGTTGTTTAAGAGGACTGAATTAGCAACTCCATGAAGGGTTTTAAGGGGCTTCGTTTGACACGCAACAATTCTATAGTACTTCAGAGACAACTTCAGAGAAATTATAAGTCTACTCCAGAATCCTTCAGACGTAGTTTTTCTACAGGACCTCTAAGGCCTCAGGTCACAGGACCTGCGAAGCTGTTCCACAAGACTCAAGTGGCTACTCCAATTGCTTTAAGGTATTACTCAACGGTATTGAAGAAGCTACTGAGGGTTTATCCACAGGGCAGAAGAGGTCACTCCACAAAGTTTAATGGATCTTTCGTTCAGCGGGACTTTCAGAGTTGCTAATCATTACTTCAAAGTGCTGCTGAAGAGGTCCTAATTAGCTACTCCGCAAAGGGTTTTTAAGGATTTATCGAAGAGGTCACTCAGCAAGCATCTTCACAGGACTTAAGAGGCTACTCCACAAGCTTTCAGAAGTAACTCCGCAGGACCTTAAAGGTCTCAAGTCACATAGTGGCATGGTGAAGTACTCCGCAAGACTTAAGGGACTACAGCACAATTCTTAAATGACTGTTCATCAAAGCAATAAAAGTAATTCCACGAGAGCTTGATCACAGGGCATGATCAGTTCAAAGGGCTCAAGTGGCTACTCCACACAGTTTGAGGGAATAGTGAATAGTGTTGAAGGAGCTACTTCGCAAGATTTTTCCAGGGTTTCTCCACAGGACTTAGGAGGTCACTCCGCAATATTTAATGGGTCCATTCCACTCAAGCGTTATTCAACAGGAGTTAATAAACTTCTCTGCAAGACTTGCGGAGTTTTTCCGCATGACTTCAAAAGGAACTTCTCAGGAACTTTAAAGCTACTCCAGTCCATGGTACTTGAAAGGCTACCGTTTTGTTGCTATAAAAGTAACTTCAAAGGCCTCTGGTCACAGGGAATGAAGAACTACTGCACAAGAATTAAGAGAATCAATGGGGACTGAACAGGTTTATCCATATAACCACTCTGCAAAATTTAATGCGGTTTTAGGGGGTTTGTTCACAGGACCTCAGAAGCTACTTCATAGGATTTACTAGGATACTCCACACGACTTATAAAATGACTCCACAGGACTTCAAAGGCCTCATGTCGAAGGGCATGAGGAGTAACTCCACAGGTCAGAAATCTTCCGTAACCCACCAACGGCAAGCGTTGGTGTCTACTTTCTGACTAACTTGGACCAAAACAGAGCGAACGGCGCAGTTAGTCTTAAGATAAATGTAAACAAACAGCTGTCACATTAGCGCACATCCGATTCATGGCCTACTATTTCGGTGTGCCGCGTTCCTGGCACTCAATCCATCAGCAAAACCAATTCACAGGTATATCCTGGGTGAAACGAAATGAACTTTGAACCTGTACACTTACGACATTGTTATTGCTTTCTTTTACAGCTGTCAATTCAAAGCTGTAAGGTGGAATTCAGGAGTGATTCGAGATTTGGGCGTAACTGTTTTTGTAAACAATGACTCTTCAATCACCGATTTCTCGCGAATAGAAGCTCCTCCTCAAAAACTAACAACGCAAACAGGTAGGGGGAGTGATTGCCCGAGCAGTTCAAGAATGATCTTTCAAAAGGACCTATCTGCTTTTGTAAACAACGATTGGGGAATCATTTCCCTATGGTGGTGTTAGTTTGCGAAGGCAAGCTAAGAGTTTCGACGAATGCAGCAGATACGAGGTTTAATACGCGAGAAATCGATGATTGAGGCCATTTTTTCACAAAAGTAATTGCGCCCAAAAAATCCCGAATCACTCTGGAAGTTCATTCGCAGCGGGCACCAAATATCACAATATGCTGATATAGTAAATATTTAAAATTTAAAATCTATCCGTTATCTATGAGAGAGATGAGAAAGAGAAAGAATGCAAAATGGCGAAACAAATACAAACTGAGATAGGATTACCAAAAAAAAAAAACTTACAATCAAATAAGGAATGCATTTTTTGCTGGTTTTGTATACAAAATAATAGAAAGAATCCTAACACGTACACTGCACTAATACATAAAAGTTTTTGTAAAGTTACTATGTGAATGAAAATTTAATTCCAGAAAAGATTTCTTTCTCTTTCTCCTACAAAAAAAAAGTTAAATAAAACCGTTTGCGCTCACACATACATTCACACATTCACTGATGACACTTCGAGCGATTCTGAGAGAGAGAGAGAGACCGAGAGACTTTTACGTTTCACTCACATAACCTATAAACAACAAACTCCGGCTTATAGCCGATTGTTTTTTTTCTCGGAAAATTCCTTATTTTGAGTTTGTTTTGCGTCTTCTTCAAGAGCTTCCTTATACAACACCGACTGACTGACTGACTGACTACCAAACACACTCACACACACAGCTATGAAAAACGTAACGCGTACGATTCATGTATGCATAAAAACAAATACAATTAAAAACGAGTACGGTAACTGCGATCACTGGGGGGCGGCGGCGCATGGCAACGCCTACTAGTACGAGAATTTTGGCAAACATTTTTGTTTTCCCTATACAACATGGCTGAAACATTCCGTTCTTACTGATTTGACCCTTCGACTACAGCATCAACGGTAACGGTGGCAGCAGCGGCGATGACGGCGGAGGTCACGCCAGGCAGCCGCCGTTGATGTTGGCATAGGATGTGATTCCGCTGTCCAGGTCGGTGAACTCGCTGACGTCATGCTCGGGCAGGATTAGGAATTCGTTGGTCACGATACTGGCACCACTGTCGAGCATGCCCACCGTATGCGAGAGGATTTGATGGTGGAGGCTGTGCTGCAGAGGTTGCTGGTGCATGTTCTGCTGCAGATGGCACTGTTGCTGCTGATGTTGGTGTTGTTGTTGTTGTTGTTGTTGTTGATGGTGTTGATGCTGGTGCAGGTGTTGATTGTGCTGATGTTGGTGCGTTGGTAGAAGTCCATAGTCGGAAGGCTTGCTAATCGTAGTGTCGAAGCTGGCGCTGAACTCTAGCAGGGCATTGGAAGTGTTATCCTTGACGGCTAGGGAGGCTAGCTTGTCGCTGTCGTTGGTATGGTGACCGTCCAGGGTATTGCTGTCGTTGTTATTGTTGTTGTACAGATCCAGGGAGTTTTCGAACAGGAAGCGATCGGCCGATTGGACCGTGGTATACGGGCTGCTGGTATCGATGAGTTCACTCTTCAGGATGAAGTCTGCACTCGTTAGAGTTACCGGTACCGTGCAGGGAAGAGTTTCCGTTACCGTAGCTGTCGTGCTGGTGATAGTTACCGAACGCTTGGCTGCGTTCGTGGCCTTTTGCCGTGGCTTGGGTCCAGGTTTGGCTCGGGGCGGTCGAGCTTGGCTGCTTGGAATGTATTCGGATTTCAACGTTTGTTGCGTTGCGAAGCTATTGACAGCCATGACATCGGTAGGCGTTGTATAGGTCACCTCCGTTGGAGATAGTTTGCAATAACCGGGAGGTAGCACGTTGTCTTGTTTCGAGAAATCACCCAGTTCACCACCGGACTTGAGACATTCCGAGTACTTCATCTCCTCCGCAGTGCTGTCGAGGAAGTTCAGGTCATTCAAAAACTTGCAGTTGTTGTTCGTAATGGTAGACAGGCTGGGCAGGGGTTGGTAACCTTTCTGGTGGACGCAAGTCGGACCATGGGCCTGCAGAACCTCGATCAGCTTCCGCCGTTGGCTCTCCAGCTCGGCCATCTGCTGCTTCAGATCCTTGTTCTGCGCATCCAGCGTTTCCGACTCGTTGACCAAGTTGACGGTACGTTCGCGCTTCTTCATCCGACACTTGGTGGCTGCAATCTTGTTGCGTTCCCGACGCCTTCGGCGACGATCCTCGTCATCCGGAGTCAACTGTAATGAAACACATTTCAAATCAATCACCCCCGAACATCGATTTTCCTCTTTAATACTCTTACTCTTACCCCAGTCATCGAACGAGGACTGCTGACACTACCGGGGCCACCTCCCGTCGACGAGCTGTTGGTTCGATGATTGTCCACGTCATCTTCACTCGTCAGGTTATCGGTGTCGTGACGCATCTTCGGCTGAGTACCACCCCGCTTTGTTCCCCCACTGTAGCTCCCTTCTCCTCCGCCGCCACTGGAAGATTCGTTGCCATCGCTGGAATCGCAACCGCTGTGCTTTCGTTTACTCTGTATCAGCAGCTTCACGCCGGCCTTGATCAGTTGCGAGCGGGTCTGTGGAAAAAGGAAAGAGAAACAGGTTGATAAATGCATTCAGATTCGGGTACTGCACACCAATCCAACTTCGATAGCGTAGAATGGGAGGAAATGATTGGACAAAATTTGCATAAAATTCATAACTTGTTGGGGGTGCGCATATGCTGTTCGTTCGAATTGTTATAAATGAATGGCAATAAAACGGAATGGCTTGTCATGTTTCTTTTTCGGGTACGCACTCCTACCTCGCTTGAATGGTGACTTTCAACTTTCCAACTTGATTTCAATTATCTGATCTTTGAACTGGCTTTTTTGTTCCATGAAAGCAAATAATTTCAAACTGAACACGAACTTCTTACAGGATTTCCAAAATTTTGTGAGAAAATATATTGAAACCCATATTTAGTTTACTTTATGCCCTTTTTACAAAGAAGGGTTTACAACAGGGTGTTCCAAAAAAAAAAACCTAGAATGACAGATTAGGCTATTATTAAAACTCTCTTAACAAATGTTTAAACGTTGCATCCTTCAATTTTCCATAAAGCAATTATTTCAGAACAATTTCATAAAATGTGCTCAAGCGTCATACAAATAGATAATATAAAGTAGCTCAATATTATACGATTGTACTTTGATATCGCAAAAAACAAAGTTCGGAATTGATGACCGAGTAAACGTAAATTTTCAACTAAAAGTACCAATGAAAATGATCATCTCAAATTTAAAAAAGATACCCCATACAAAATGTTTTGACGTAGGACTACGTCCGTGATTTCTATATGGGGGTAGACTTTGTGAAAAACGAAAATGGAACATGTAACGAAATTATGAAAGATTTTGAACGTTAATAACTCAGCTGCCCTTGGACCAATTTCAATAATTTTATCACCAATCGATCAGAAATATATCGACTGCAATGCTTTCGACTTTTTTAACAATAAACTATTGAAAAAGCATTGTCCGAAAGCGTAGAAATAACAAACAAATCCACGATTTACGTACATGAATATGCTGCTGCCCCAACACAGTCATTAGAGATTCGTTAGTAGACGAAACAAGTCGAAAAGGAATTCGCCTCCGATCTTCGGGCGAGCGCTAATAGGGAGGATGCAATAACGTAACATTTTGGACACTCATCACCATATTGAGAACCACACGCCCCCAAAGACCACACAAAATGCTCTCCAGAGTTGTAATCTTGTAACCAAACTTGGAAGCAGGGGTGCAAGTGATTTTCATCGACTTTCTGTTTCGTTAATAACTCGCCGACAAACACAACTAGTAGCCTTGTATCATCCTACGGAACTACTTTTGAAGCGTCAAATCACTTCACGCCTCCCCAAGTCACATGATAACAAAAGACTACCAGCTGAAACATGGACACAGCTGGGTGGCGTAGCCTGGGCAATGTTGCCAGTCCGGCAATAGCAAAGTGAAGAGGTGCGACGCGAACACTGGCACGGTAACCATAGTACGGTGATAGAGGAAATGCTTCACCAAACCCGAGCGTCTGTTCACCATGGAGGGGCGGCTCAAAACGGCGTCTGTTCTTTATGTTACGAGCGGCTGATCACCGTCCTAGTACCAGCGTGGGACTCTAAACAGAGCTGTGCACGATAGTCCCCCGGCGAGACAGGGGGTTGGGGTAGGCCCAACAAGCCGCCCTGGAAAAAAACATAAAGTTGCAAATACTGAAGAAAGAAATACGAATCGGAACAATCGGCACAGACCTACGCGACGAAATAAGGACAACGATTGGAAACTCGGAACCTGGAACTGCAAATCGCTTGGCTTCCCGGGCTGCGATAGGTTAATCTATAACGAACTTCAACCACGCAACTTCGAAGTCGTAGCACTGCAGGAACTGTGTTGGACGGGACAAAAGGTATGGAAAACCGGGCATCGAGCGGATACTTTCTACCAGGGCTGTGGCACCACCAACAAGCTGGGAACCGGCTTTGTAGTGCTGGGTAAGATGCGCCAACGATGTGCAAGTCGAGGATTAAGGGCCGTTTCTTCAACTACGTGCACTGCCCACACGAAGGGAGACCCGACAACGAAAAATAAGCGTTCTATGCGCAGCTGGAGCAGGTGTACGACGGCTGTTCGCAACGGGACGTCAAAATCGTCATCGGCGACATGAACGCTCAGGTAGGACGGGAGGCAATGTATAGACCGGCAATCGGGCCAAACAGCCTGCATGCCGTATCGAACGACAACGGCCAAAGTGAGGTATGGTACTTCGAAGTACCTTTTTCCCCCGCAAGGATATCCACAAAGCCACCTGGAGATCACCTGACCAACGCACAGAAAACCAAATCGATCACGTTCTAATCGACGGGAAATTCTTCTCCGACATTAACAACGTCCGCACGTACCGCAGTGCGAACATAGATTCGGACCACTACCTAGTTGCAGTATGCATGCGCTCAAAACTCTCGACGGTGCATAACACCCGTCGAAGTCGAACGCCGTGACCCAACATTGAGCAACTACGGGACGCCGGAGTTGCCCAGGACTACGCGCAGCAGCTGGAAGTTGCACTACCCACGGAAGAGCAGCTTGGTGCAGCTTCTCTAGGTAGTACTGCTGCAGCGGCACTAGGTACTGCAATCCCGGACCAAAGAAATGACTGGTTTGACGGCGAATGCAAACTGTTAGTAGAGGAGAAGAATGCAGCACGGGCGAGAATGCTGCAACACCGCACGAGATTGAATGTGGAGCGATACAGACAAGCGCGGAACAGACAAAACTCGGTTTTCCGAAGGAAGAAGCGTCAGCAGAAAGACCGAGATCGCGAGGTGATGGAAAATCTGTACCGCGTAAACGACACACGGAAGTTCTACGAGAAGCTAAATAGTTCGCGCAAAGGCTACGTGCCGCAAGCCAATATGTGCAAGGACTTGGACGGTAACCTTCTCACGAACGAGTGTGAGGTGATCGAGAGGTGGAAGCAGTACTATGACGAGCACCTCAATGGTGATGCAGCAGAAAACGAAGGTGGCACGGTAACAGACCTTGGAGTACGCGCAGAAGACGACAGGCTAGCGGCCCCCTGATCTTCAAGAAGTTGAGGAGGAGATCGGTCGGCTTAAGAACAACAAAGCAACTTGTGTAGATCAACTACCAAGTAAGCTATTAAAATGCGGTGGTGAAGCACTGGCTAGAGCGCTGCACTGGGTAACTGCCAAGATTTGGGAGGAGGAGATATTACCGGAGGAGTGGATGGAAGGTGTCGTATGCCCAATCTACAAAAAGGGCGACAAGTTGGATTGCTGCAACTACCGCGCGATCACACTGCTGAGCGCCGCCTACAAGGTACTCTCCCTAATTCTATGCCGCCGCCTGTCACCATTTGCAAGAGAGTTCGTGGGGCGATACCAGGCGGGATTGATGGGTGCCCGCGCTACCACGGACCAAATTTTCGCGATTCGGCAGAAATGCCGCGAATACAACGTGCCCACACATCATTTGTTCATCGATTTCAAATCCGCATACGACACAATCGATCGAGATCAGCTATGGCAGATTATGCACGAGTACGGATATCCGGATAAACTGACGCGATTGGTCGAGGCGACGATGGATCGAGTGATGTGCGTTGTTCGAGTATCGGGGACACTCTCGAGTCCCTTTGAATCTCGAAGGGGGTTACGGCAAGGTGATGGACTTTCGTGTCTGCTGTTCAACATCGCGTTAGAAGGTGTGATCAGAATAGCTGGGATAGACACGAGTGGCACGATCTTCAGGAAGTCCATCCAGCTTCTTAGCTTCGCCGATGACATCGACATCGTGGCACGGAACTTTGAGACGATGGCGGAAACGTACATCAGACTGAAGGCTGAAGCTAGGCGGATTGGACTTGCCATCAACGCATCAAAGACAAAATACATGAGAGGAAGAGGTTCTAGGAAAGACAATGTTAGCCTCCCACCCCGAGTTCAGATTGACGGTGTCGAAATTGAGGTGGTCAATGAGTTTGGGCCGCCGAAAATGATACCAGCAGAGAAATTCAAAGACGCATTATGGCAGGGAATCGTGCCTACTTTGGACTCCGGAGGACGCTCCGGTCGAATAAAATTCGCCGCCGCACGAAGTTGACTGTCTACAAGACGCTGATTAGACCGGTGGTCCTCTACGGCCACGAGACCTGGACTATGCTAGTGGAGGACCAACGCGCCCTGGTGTTTTCGAACGGAAGGTGTTGCGTACCATCTACGGTGGAGTGCAGATGGATGACGGAACGTGGAGAAGGCGAATGAACCACGAATTGCACCAGCTGCTGGGAGAACCATCCATCGTCCACATTGCAAAAATTGGGCGACTACGGTGGGCTGGGCACGTCGTATGAATGCCGCACGACGACCCAGTGAAAATGGTTTTAGAAAGCGACCCAACAGGAACAAGTAGAAGAGATCGACCAAGTAGAAGGCGACCTGCGGACCCTCCGCAGACTACGAGGCTGGCGAAGTGTGACCATGGAAGGGGTAGAGTGGAGACGACTTCTTCGGGCAGCAGAGGAAAACAAGGCCTTAGCCTGATTGGTAAGGTAAGTGTGATTTTGTGAATATGAGTAACTTTGACTCAACAATAAAAAAAAAATAAGGGTGGATCCCAATTTTGAGTTTTCAGCCCATTTGTTGATTTAAAGAAAAATAAAATGGCGTTGTGATAATGTAAAAATACGAAGCTTGCCTTTCTGTCGCAGCCGCCGTGGATTTGGAAACGTAACGCAACGCAAATTGAGCGGTAATTGTGTTGCATTCTGTTTGCTATGAAATAAAATGCTCGATTAAAATGTGTTTCTGTTTTTGGTTTATTAATCCTCAGTTCAGGCTATGGTACTCAATTTAGAGTAGATCTGGTTTTAAATAACTTGAGTGATTTTTCACTCAATTTTGAATAGCGACGAACGAGCGTGTTCTTATTTCAACGTGTTCAAGATGCAATTTACCGAAAAGATGTTACGGATTTTTCATCGGCGTGACATAAAGTTATTCGGCGGCGTGAACATTTTA